TTCTCATATATGGAGGTGACAAAGAGCTAGTCGTAAATGGTTACGTCGATGCAAGCTTTGACACTGATCCGGATGATTCTAAATCGCAAACCGGATACGTATTTTTATTAAACGGTGGAGCTGTAAGTTGGTGCAGTTCTAAACAAAGCGGCGTGGCGGGATCTACATGTGAAGCGGAGTACATAGCTGCTTCAGAAGCAGCAAATGAAGGAGTCTGGATGAAGGAGTTCATTTCCGATCTAGGTGTTGTACCTAGTGCATCGGGACCAGTGAAGATCTTCTGTGACAATACTGGTGCAATTGCCTTGGCAAAGGAATCCAGATTTCACAAGAGGACCAAGCACATCAAGAGACGCTTCAATTCCATTCGGGACCAAGTCCAAGTGGGAGACATAGAGATTTGCAAGATACATACGGATCTGAATGTTGCAGACCCGTTGACTAAGCCTCTCTCACGATCAAAACATGATCAGCACCAAGACTCCATGGGTGTTAGAATCATTACTATGTAATCTAGATTATTGACTCTAGTGCAAGTGGGAGACTGAAAGAAATATGCCCTAGAGGCAATAATAAAGTTATTATTTATTTCCTCATATCATGATAAATGTTTATTATTCATGCTAGAATTGTATTAACCGGAAACATGATACATGTGTGAATACATAGACAAACATAGTGTCACTAGTATGCCTCTACTTGAACTAGCTCATTGATCAAAGATGGTTATGTTTCCTAACCATAGGCATGTGTTGTCATTTGATCAATGGGATCACATCATTAGGAGAATGATGTGATTGACTTGACCCATTCCGTTAGCTTAGCACTTGATCATTTAGTATGTTGCTATTGCTTTTTTCATGACTTATACAAAGTTCCTGCAACTATGAGATTGTGCAACTCCCATTTACGGGAGGAACACTTTGTGTGCTACCAAACGTCACAACGTAATTGGGTGATTATAAATGTGCTCTACAGGTGTCTCCAAAGGTACATGTTGAGTTCGCATAATTCGAGATTAGGTTTTGTCACTCCGATTGTCGGAGAGGTATCTCTGGGCCCTCTCGGTAATACTCATCACCTAAGCCTTGCAAGCATTGTAACTAATGAGTTAGTTATGAGATGATGTATTACGGAACGAGTAAAGAGACTTGCCAGTAACGAGATTGAACTAGGTATTGGTACCGACGATCGAATCTCGGGCAAGTAACATACCGATGACAAAGGGAACAACGTATGTTGTTATGCGGTTTGACCGATAAAGATCTTCGTAGAATATGTGGGAACCAATATGAACATCCAAGTTCCGCTATTGGTTATTGACCGAGAATAGTTCTAGGTCATGTCTACATAGTTCTCGAACCCGTAGGGTCCGCACGCTTAACGTTACGATGACAGTTTTATTATGAGTTTATAAGTTTTGATGTACCGAAGGTTGTTCGGAGTCCCAGATGTGATCACGGACATGACGAGGAGTCTCGAAATGGTCAAGACATAAAGATTGATATATTGGATGACTATATTCGGACACCGAAAGTGTTCCGAGTGTTTTCGGAGAAAAACCGGAGTACCGGAGGATTACCGGAACCCCCCCCCCCGGGAAGTAATGGGCCTTGATGGGCCCTAGTGGAGAGAGAGAGGGGCCGGCCAGGGCAAGAGGCGCGCCCCTCCCCTTGAGTCCGAATAGGACAAGGAAGGGGGGGTGGCGCCCCCCTTGCCTTCCCCCTCTCCCACTCCTTCCTTCCCCTCCTTCTTGGAATAGGAAAGGGAGGGGGCAAACCTACTTGGAGTAGGTTTCCCCCTCCTAGGGCACGCCTCCCCTTAGGCCGGACCCCTCCTCCTCTCCCCCTTTATATACGGGGGAGGGGGGCACCCCATAGACACACAAGTTGATCTACGGATCGTTCCTTAGCCGTGTGCGGTGCCCCCCTCCACCATATTCCACCTCAGTCATATCATCGCGGAGTTTAGGCGAAGCCCTGCGCCGGTAGAACATCATCATCGTCACCACGCCGTCGTGCTAACGGAACTCATCCCCGACGCTTAGCTGGATTGGAGCCCGGGGAACGTCATCGAGCTGAACGTGTGCTGAACACGGAGGTGCCGTACGTTCGGTGCTTGGATCGGTCGATTCGTGAAGACGTACGACTACATCAACCGCGTTGTCATAACGCTTCCGCTTAACGGTCTACGAGGGTACGTAGACAATACTCTCTCCTTTCGTTGCTATGCCATCACCATGATCTTGCGTGTGCGTAGGATTTTTTTTTGAAATTACTACGTTACCCAACAGGGTCGCCGGCGGCTTGTGGTGTCCTTTGAGTGTCGTTGCTCCTCCCCTCTGCTCGCCGCCATGGTGCGTTGATAGCTAGCCTGCACGTGCCGTTGGGGCTGCTGAGCTGGGTTGGCATCGCTGGCTACGAGGACTTCTACGTCGTCGGGCGCCGACGGAAGGGTGGGCACGGGGAGCCCGTAGCAGAGGCTCGTCGCGGCGTGGATGGAGAGGAGAAGGAAGAGCGCCCACCAGATCAGTTTGAGCGGCGCAGCGAAGCGCTCCTCCCGCGGCCGCCGTACTCAAGCTGCAGGTAGGCCGCGAGCAGCAGCCACGCCACCGCGCGCGCCGCGACGTCGGCCTCGTCGGCCCCCGCGTGGAGCGCCCCGAGCTACTGCTTGATAGTGATGCGGGCATGGGCAGCAGAGAGCAGTGGTGGTGGAGTAGCTCCACGGGCGAACAGAGCATTGGGCGTAGTGGATGGGAAGCCAACCTTGGGGTGCATGGGATGGCCGCGACGGCGAGCGAGGGCAGGAGGTGGGGCGAATCGGAGTGGGGACGCGTCGACGAGCGCTGGCAGCGGCCATAGGAAGACGGGGAGAGCGGGCCACGACAGCGCGAATTTGACCTAGCCGGTCATAGCTATCTGCCGTGGCCAACAACCACACCTTGCCGGTGGCCTCCGCACTAGTCCCAACACCTCCATGCACTGAAAGTGTTTGTTGAAATGCCAAAATGAGAGAGGAAGAGGAAGAAGAAGATTGATGTGGGGCCCACCTGTCATAACGGTCAACTTAACGGTAAAAAATAAACGGAGTTGACTTTCCCGCCACGTCATCCCTGACAGATGGGCCCCGCATGTCATAAACACGTTTAAATCTTCTAAACGGGCCATTTTCCGAAAGTGGTAGTTTTTAGTCACGAGATTCCAATTTTTTGGTAGTTATCAGTCACTTTTTAAAAGTGGTAGTTCTGTGGGACGCGAACCCCAATTGTGGTAGTTTTTTGTCAAACACTCCAACTCTGAGCTATAATGTCAGTACAGTCTACTAGAAGAACCCTAAGTTATACTCCCTCCGTTCCTAAATATTTGTCTTTTTAGACTTTCAAATGGACTACTACATACGAATGTATATAAACATATTTTAGAGTGTAGATTCACTCATTTTGCTCCGTATGTAGTTATTTGTTGAAATATCTAGAAAGACAAATATTTAGGAACGAAGGAAGTAGTTTGCATGTTATGGTTTTGCTAGCGCATAATTGTTTGGTTTTTCGTTAAATATCAAGAGATTGTGCAAAGTCATTTGATCTGTATCAAAGATCGATTTGTTTCTACTCTTCATTAGGTAGCACTTTGAGATTGTTGATGAGGTTAGAGTTGTGAGAGCAGATTCGTTGGCCCGCATGGGAGCAACACGGTGTCAGAATGACAAAGCAGAGCTCGTTATACTAAGGGCATGTACAATGCATAGCCTCAAGGTGATGCCTCGCATGCCATGTAGGATCGGATATGACGTAAAGTAGGTTCGGATAGGGAAGCAGGATCCTCTTCAAGAGGCGTGTGCTTGAAGAGAAAAAGCGTGGTCCGATGACAAAAGCTGAAAAGGTTGGAGTGAAAAGTAGAGATGCATGTTTACTAGAGTCTTTATTTTTTATTTTTTAATGAGGACTACTAGTGATAGCTTGCATTGGAGAGGAAAAATGAATGTAGGTGCTTCAAATTACTTTTTGTCATGAGGCATATGTATCCATATGCCACCATTGTACATAAGGGCATGTACAATGCATAGTCTCAAGGTGATGCCTCGCATGCCACGTAGGATCGAATATGACATAAAGTAGGTTCGGATAGTGAAGCGGGATCCTCTTCAAGAGGCGAGTGCTTGAAGAGAAAAAGCGTGGTCTGGTGACAAAAGCTGAAAAGGTTGAAGTGAAAAGTAGAGATGCATGTGTACTAAAGTCTTTATTTTCTATTTCTTAATGAGGCCCACTAGTGGTAGCTTGCATTGGGGAGAAAAAATAAATGTAGATGCCTCAAATTATTTTTTGTCATGGGGCATATGTATCCATATGCCACCATTGTACATGCCCTAATTACGGTCCCAATGTGACGTATGGCATATTGATGACGTGGGAGCATAGTTAAGGAATGGGACTTTTCTTACGGTGGTTAGGTTAGGGTTTATGGTGTTCGCTGGAACGGCTTTTAGGTTTGATTCATCGTTAGACATCCAAGCTTTGCGAACCTAGTCAGCTCGAAAAAAAAAACTAGGAGTGAGTTTAGACTCTGCGAACAGTCGAGATTGATTGGTAAACATGTGATAGCGCCGCAGAAATGTACATAGTCACTTATTCTTTATAGATGCAGTGACTTGGACATAATGATGAGTGAATATCATTTTAAATCCTTTTAAACTTGACTTGAATTTGAGAATTCCAAACAACGGTTGGCCGGCCTAAACCCCCATCACACCGATATTTTATTTTGGTCGTTTCCTTAAGCAGAGGTAATAATTGGTCGTCAAATTACCACGGGGTATCGGATTGTCGTCGGCAAGAGGATCTCGCCGCCGTATCGCGTCCCCAATTTCAAACCCGCGCGTCCGGTGGCGCCGTCCGCCGCCTAAAACCCCGCCCCCTCCGCCTCCGTCGGCCTTCGCCGCCCTAGGTAGCTAGGATTCCTCGGCCTCCACGCGCGCGGAGCCACCCCCACCAACGGCATCCCATGCCCCGTGCGCCGGCGACCAGCGCCGCATCCCACCGCCGCCGCGGCAAGCGGCGCGTCATCGGCGCCCACGGCACCGAATCCCTTCCTCGCGGCCGCAGCCACCTCCTCGCCTTCCGCTCCTTCACCCTCCGCTTCGCCCTCGCCGCCCCGCGCCACCGCCGCCGCAAGCGCCGCCTCGGCGGCGCCCGCCGCCCCGCCCCCAGTCCCCGCCGCCGCAGCGGCAGCGTCGTTTCCCCCAGCCGCTTCCTCGCCCTCCGCCCGTTCGTCCTCCGCTACCTCCTCGCGGCCGGCGCATCGACCCCTTGCCGCCGTCGGAAGGCCTCCGTGATAGACATGGGCCACTACATTTCGCGGCTGCTGAGGGAGACTCGCACCGGCGAAGGCGGCTCAAGGGTACGCAAGAGGCGTGACAAGGGATTGCGGGAGGTGATAGATCTCAGTGCGAATAGGGTTCAAGCGGACAAGGCCAATCCCGCCAGGTGGGGTATTGGCGATGTGAGCAACATCACACTGGAGGAGGTGCCTGACGATAGTCTCGAAGAGGTAGCCATCTCAATCTCATGGGTCATGGTTTAAGAAGAATTTTACATAGTTTGCGGATATCCATAGTAAAATGGTTAATGCACCTGCGTTCGCCTGGGTGTCATTTGGATATGCATAGTATGACTCGTGGAAGTAGCTCTTTAGTTGGCTGTTTATGAACTTGTTTAGCTAGAGCGAATTCACCCATAAAACTAGTAGAAATTTCTTTTGGATGAAAAAATTCACTATGACCTTTAGCAACTATGATTTAGAAATGGATATTTCTGGGTTCCTCACAAAGAATGGATGTTTCACTCCTAAAGGGTTAACTCTGCCTTCGAAGTCTAGCTCTGTTAATTAATTGGATTAATTAGTGCACTGTCGATTAGCCTGTTCGTTTTGACTCTTTTCAACAGTTCTTCAAATATAATTCCCATATTTTGTATTTGTCTATTTCAGGATCTGTCTGAATTATTTGCACCTCTCACAAATGAAGAAGAGAGTGAAGTAAACAACTTATTGAATGGTAGTTCTCACAGGTACACTTGGCAACAATGCCTAGTAAATTTTATTCAATACTTCTACTTTATCTTATTAGCACCATTAAACATTAACCATCCTCTTCTGTTTGCAGTAAAAAAGTAATAGTGCTGCATAAGCCTTCAAACATTGAGATTACCAAAGAGAAACTATGGTGTTTGAGGCCTCGTGGTTGGTTAAACGATGAGGTAAGTATTCATATGGAAGAACCTCCTCCATCAAAGAAAAAAAACCCTGAAGAATATGTTTAAATGATGTTCCATTCTTTCTTAGCTTGATGTTGCAAGGCTTTATCTTGCATTCTATTTTCCCTCCTTTCAGGTCATCAATTTGTACCTTGAATTATTAAAGGAGAGAGCAGAAAGAGAACCCAACAGATTTTTAAAATGCCACTTCTTTAACACATTCTTTTATAAGAAGGTTAGCTGATGCACATTCTTTGCTTTCTAGTACTTGTCTGATGGAATATTCTTCCAGTCTGTATTCTGCTACCTACATCAGTTATGATTTATATCTGCTAGCCCTGTCCAGGTTATGTTTCTGCCTTGGTTGCTGGGATTTGATAATACTTTTGTCGTAATGGGGGCTACCGGCAAATTTGGTGTAGGGAACTGGCATTTCAAGCATATGAGATCATTCATTAATTTAAGAATATGCATCTCCTACATGTAGGGTGTGTGTGTGGGGGGATCTCCTTAACGGATCGTGAGCTCGTCTTAGAAAATGAGTTGATTATTCTCATCACTTTGTTAGAAACTGAGATGTGTCGCTAACTGCCTTATTAACTCGGTTTGAAATTGCTTCAACTATTCGTGTTACTTTGCTCAAAACTGGAGTCGATTTTGAATTAAACTCGACTATGCTCTGGCTCGTCTGGTTAGCTCAATTTTTAAATTGCTTTGAAACTTCAAATAATATTATATTAAATTAAAACGAGCTAGTTCCGAACAAAGTTTGATAATTAGTCTACCCAGGCCTGGCTTGTTTTCCACCCCTACGTACATGACTTACTTGATCTGTTTACCATGCCTCATGGTTACATAAGTTCATGACTCTTTTGTTGAAGTGCAATACATGTGTGATGCCTTTTATTCTTATATCACTGTTGTATGTTGCCCATCCAGCACGAGTCTGCATTCCTTTTCCGATTGTCAGACCCCCTTGCTATTTGACTATGTTTTAATATCCTTGCTTGTTAGATTTTTCCGTCATAAATTTTGACATGTAGCTAGTATTAAACAGTGCACACCTCATGACATTCTGTGTTCTTGTTCAGCTTGCTTGTGGAAAAACTGGGTATGACTATCAGTCTGTTAGAAGATGGACGACCCCCAACAAGTTGGGTTATAGGCTTGCGGAGTGTGAGAAAGTAAGTTGCTACTGGATCCACTTTTCTTGTTACTAGCCTTTTTTTTACATGTTCATTCCTCATGTTACGCTTACCATTAGAATTTGGTTTCAGATATTTATTCCAGTACACAGAGATGTACATTGGTGCTTGGCAATTATTGACATGAAGGAAGAAACTTTTCATTATCTCGATTCCCTTGGTGGCAAGGACAGTGCCGTACCGAGGATACTGGTAGACTTAACTGATGTCTTTGAAATAAAATACTATCTGCTTAACTGATGTCTACGAATAAAGTACCATCGATAACCTCCAATTACTTCTCTCATGAGTTTTGAAAAAATGGTTCCTTAACAATCAACGATTATGTATAAACTTTGAGGTGATTGTCTGAAATCATTCTGTGGTACGCATGTTTTGGTTTCTCTGTGTGGATGACAGAGCTAGTTCGCAGTAGTAGCAAAAAGCGGACTATTATTTTATTACTGATCTATCCGTGTCATTCACATTATGACTGATCTATGTGTGTGATCAGTTCTCTATGATATATATAAGGAAAATGTTTACATGTTTTTCATGATATTATTTTATCATATAGACCTATGTACTTCAGAGTTCTCTTTTATCTTTCATTATTTAAGATGTTTGCATGTTTAACTTACCAAGCAGCAAATTAACATTATTATTTGGAAATTTAATATATATATATATATATATATATATATATATATATATATATATATATATTCATTGGTTTCAGTTGTAGTTTGTTTTGCTAATCATTTCTATATATTTTTAAACTGGATTTATGTTTTCCTGTTTCTGTCAGGCTAGATATATCGCGGATGAATTGAAGGACAAGAATGACATAGAGATAGACACAAGTTCTTGGCGGGAAGTATCTGTTCATATTCCTTTGCAACATAATGGGTACACTTTCTTTCTACTGCCTGTAGGCCTAGATTCAGCTGTGACTTAAGGAATAACAGTTTAGTTTGGTTGCCCCAAACAACTCATATGAAGTGTCAATTATCATCACTCAGTGCTTTACTGCATTTTCAGCAGCAATTATTGTTTACCTGAAAAATCTGTTTTGTATTCTTTATAGCAATAAGTACGCATGAAGTTGTTTGATGTGGAACTTCTTTTTTGTAACAGATGGGATTGTGGTATGTTTATGCTCAAGTTCATCGATTTCTACAGCAGAGGTCTCATACTATCTTTTAGTCAGGTGTGTATAATAGACATCTTCTGACTGTCAACTTCATAAATATGCTTGATTAGGGTTCTGTTGAGGTCCTTGAGTTTTTGTGAGCTCGAGGATTATCAGGATAGGCTGCCAAAAGGGCTTATGCAAAATCAAGTTCAAATTGAAGACATGAGGCTTAATCTCTCTTGCACACACATATACCATGGGATATGTGCTTACCTGGTATTATGTATTTTAATTTGGTTAAATCATTTACTCTTTGCAGGAACATATGGAATATTTTAGGAGGCGGACAGCAAAGGAGATCCTGAGATTAAGAGCTGATTAAGAATGTCCTGTTTATGACCAACATCCAGACATTTTCCGATGATATTCTTCTTGCATTCCGCTTGCCAAGATGCGAGGAAGTATTTCTCGGCTGTCAACAACTAGAGGTGTGGTGATTATAAGCTCTAGGAGTAATCACCATGCCACCACAGTTTTGTAAGATCTTTAATTCTTATATTCATCTAGGATCTGATTTTGGTAGAATAGAGGGCTGGAAAAGAGATATATAGGGAAGACAGTAAGACAAGTTTAGAGGTAGAGTGCTCTGCTCACGTCGATAGCATGTAGCAATAATTGCAATTTTTTGGAACTAAAGAAAGGTTGACCTTGTATCTCTTATTCTACTATTAACTTAACATTGCATGTACTGCTGTGGAAACTTAATCAAGCAGTGCGGTTCTGTGATCACAAAGTTTATCTTGATCGTTATTGCAAGTTTGCAACATCCACAAATGGTTTTCTATAGAGAAAAAGAATATCATGCATCTCAATGTCAGTCAAAAGTTTCAGTGGAGTGACAAATGTTGTCGTTGTAAGGAATTTGATCCTAATGTTTGGAGTAACTTAACCCTAGTTTCTGAGTTCCTTTTTTTTTGTGATGCTAGTTTTTGAATTCCTCTGAGCACAGACCAAAATACCTTACATAAACCTTCAACGAGTATGGATTCATATTTAACCAAGTCAGAACCCAAACCCCAAAAGGCCCGGACCGTTGCTGAGAAATCCCAAACCCAAACAGGCCAGATTAATTATAAATATACTTGCAATTCTACATTCAGATAATCACTACAAGTTTACCCCTTTTTACATCTAGGCGCACAAGTGACCTCCCAATTACAGACCAATTCATTCAGCAGGATAGATCCAACTATATTACACAGTCATGCCAAATCAAGATCTAACCAACAGCAATGGGAAATCCCATTTTTTGTACGGAGTCTGCTTGTTCCATCAGACGCCTAAGAATGCTCTGCACTGGAACTCCCAATGCTCCTTAGCCAGACGAACACGCTCAACTCGCTCCATCTGCATTCTTTTCTCCCAGTACTCCGGACAACTGTGGATAGTTCAACAATTCAACAGTGACAAACTGATCACAAGAGACAGAAACATGTTCTTTTTCTGTCATATCTCTATTCACTTAGAACTTGTTAGGCAGTGCACTTACCTATAACTTAGTAGCATGTTCAGCTCGTCCAAGTGCACAGCATTAGGAAATACCCCAGCCTGGAATGTGGAAATTAGGTCAGTCGGCTGGGCATCCACAAACATCCGTTTGACAGAACTGAATATTTATACCTGTCGGCACAAAGGGCACTTTGATCTGTGATCTGCGGACTTCAACCCATCGACAATCGTCACCGATGCAGCAGAGCAACAGCACAAGTAGCAAAATATGTGGCCACAGGAAAGCGATACTGGATCAAACATTGTGTCCTGCAAAAACAAGTTGGAAATTGAAGCGTTACAAAAGATCGAGAAGTTATTACCACCATAGATTGAAATAATTCAACTAGTGTATGTTGGCATCCGATAAATAGATCTTGTCTTAGGTGTCAGAAGTGCGAACTCACCAAGCAAATTGAACATGTCAAGCTGATGTCAACTCGCATAGAGTCAAAGAGGTTGCATGAGAGTGTTGGCTGGTCGTCATCGAATGTGAGCGAGCAGTCACCAAAGAGCTCCATCGCAGTCTCGTTGTTCTTGCTTCTTCTCAGGTTCATGTAGAAAGCCATTAGCTCAGACAGCCATGGGGACTGAAGTATCTCAATGTGCAGGCTCTGGGCCTGAGCTTTGAACTCCTGTCCTTGCTTCGAATAATGTACCTTCAGAGTAGATGCTTTTGGTCATTCTTTTCAATCAATCATTGAAATCCAACTATTATCTTGTCCGAAATGCAACGACAGCTAAGATTTTGATAGTTTTACTCTCATTTCAGGTTAAAGAACTAACTAGAAATACGATAATACAGTCCGTGTGATTCCTCCAATGTGCACTTACCATATACTAGGGCTTACTGATTTCACTTGTTGAAGCCTAAAACGCTTGAAACCAGTATGCTTAACCCATCTAATGTAGGAGCATCCAGCTATTTTTCATTTCATTTTTGTTAATATCCTATTGAGAACGTAAATGTGTTTTCGCTTTTAAATAAAGGCAGGACAAAGGCCATACCTTGTCATACTTCTTCAGGATCTTCCTCATCGCCACGGCGTTTATAATCGCATACGTGACCAAGTCTTTGCCTTGCTGTATTAACTGCCCATGGTTCTTGTGACACCTGTTGCTGAACCACATGACATATTTCTTGAACCTTGACGCCAAGTGCAATTCAAGGAGCTTCTTGGCCTTCTCGTTGAAGCAGCCAACGACGGCTGACATCTCGTCGAGAAGGGACGGGAAGAAACTGCCATCACATACTGCATATTGTTTTTTAATGAATTGTCAACTAACAACCAAGCATGAAAGGTAATATATGAATCATCACTTGAACTTGAAAATATTCACAATGCCAGTTGGAACCATGCATGAAATATTCTTTGTTGTCGGCACTTTGTGTGGTTTTTTTATAATATGAAAAGTTGGAAAATCAGAATAGGCAACTTGATTATTAAAAATTGCGAAGTCGGGATCAGAGGAACAGATCGATGCGCCAATCAACAGTATGCTCCTTGCTGAACCTATGAGCACAGCACGGTTGACTCTATACTGGTTGGTTGTCTTAGGTTATACTAGTATTTTGTAAGCGAGTTTACTAATAGTTTTTGTCGGCACTTTGACTCTCAGAAACATTAGCATTTTTAATTTATTAGACGTGCCCACAGTAAAGTTTAGTGCGTGAAGCCATCGTAGCGGTAGCGTAGGGGGCTAGTGGCGCCTACAAGCTGTGCTGGTCTCTGGTTTATCTCTTGTTTCTGCAACTGATAGTAGAATATGCAAGCATACAGCCAACATCTCTGTCAAGCACATGATGGCTGACTCTACAATTTATTCATGGTTACAACACCTTTTCTTTTTTGCTACAGAAAATGGTAACACGAATTTTGAACCAGATGGTGAGGAGATGTATGTTTAAGAAAAATCTAGGGGATCCTGGGTTGCGGAGCAAATCATGAACCCCCACATTTGTTGCTTTGATTGACTTCATTGATGCATCTTCACCCATAAATAACCCGGGAGAAGCTGGGCAAGGCGAAAAAAAAAAAATCTCGACAAGCTAGTAGTAAGATGAAATTGGTGGACGTGGTAAAATGTGCATGTGGTTTTGTTTTCTTCCCCAGCAAGGGCCGCCTTGCAGAATACCGAAAGCCGGGTGCAGGTACAACGGTGCAGGTTCCATGCAGAATTCGTCAAGCTGATCGCGGCGTGAAGCAACTGAAATGCCAAAAAAATATTGACAGTTTGGCACTGACAGCGACATGGTTTCTGGTCATCTTCTAGGTTTGTCATTTTGCCATAGGGGGAATCCCCACTACGGACCTATTCAGAAAGAAGAGGAAGAAAAGCACCGGGAAAAGATTCCAGCCAATACGAGCGGCTCCGAGGTGCGGGTCAACATCAACGTGCACACCGGGAACGAATCCACCGGAGGAATTTGTTCAGAAAGAAGAAGAAAAAGGAGACACCGGGAAAGATCCTCAGATAGCACGCGAGGCTCCGTAGCGCGGGGTCAAAATCGGTACGAGGAAATCAACAACAACGGCATAAAGAAAGGGAGATGCAGAAAAAAGGAAGATTGTTGTTTTGTTTACCGGAGCAATGGCCGGGGCACCGGGCTCCGGCGCCGGCGTCGGAGGAGGAGGACGAGTCGGAGGCGCCGGTTTTGTGGTGCGGGCTGCGGTGGGAGCGGCATTTCTTGAGCATCTTCTTGAGGCGCTTGAGGCCCACGGCGGGGAGCTCCTGCTCCGCCGTCCTGATCCCCCGCATGTACGTCTCGTACCTCTTGGTGAACTTCATGGCCGGCCGGCCGGCTGATTCCGCCGCTCGATCGAAGCGCCAAACAAAGGCGCCAAATCACCAGAATACAGTAACAATGGAAGGATTCCAAATTTTGGCTGGCCGCGGAAGAAATGGTGGGGTAGGGGTTGCTGTTACGTTGGATGGTGGATCAAGCACGAGAAAGAGCGTCGCGGAGGTGGGAGGGAGTCACGCGCCGGCGCGGCTCACGGACGCGGGAGTTTGGAGGCGACGATGGCCTGGGCGTGGAGCGGTTCACGTGAAGAGGGAGGGAGGTGGGTGGGAGGAAAGCTGGAGGACGGACGCGATTGGGAGGGAGCAGAGAGGAAACAGAGGCTTCTTCCGGCGGCAGCGGGCGGTATATATGGCCTGGCCTGGCCGGTCGAGGCGACGGCCGGGTCGGGGAGGAGAGGGACGGGATTCGCGACGGGACGACGACGGGGCCGTTTCGCGCGGTCGCGGTCGCGGTCACGGTGCCCGGCTCGTTTGCTTCGTGTCGTCCCTCCTGTTTCGCGACGCGTGTGCAGCCGGTCGCTGACGCGATGGGGATACCAGGATAGGGCGCGGGGCCTGTACGATCTCCCATTTTCCAAGCGCCGGGAGCGCCGAGTGCGTGCGTGACGGAGGACCGGCGGTGGCAGCGGCGGCGCTGCCTGGCTGCCCCCGCCGGTCAGCGGCGGCGCTGCCTGGCTGCCCCCGCCGGTCAGCTCCGCCGGTGCTATCCGCGCATCATTTCCTCCGCGGGCCATAGATGGTTCCTGCGCTTCATTAAGAAGAAGATAGATGAATGCTTCAAAAAAGAAACAAGAGAGATGAATGCTTCAAAAAAGAAAAAAGAATGGGAATTTCAATTTGGGCACAAGTTGGAATCAACGGCTGGAGCTTCAAACCCATCTTATACATGGGACTCGGTATGGAACTTAGTCTGCCCAGCAAAGATAAAAATATTTATGTGACGCGCGCTCCAGAGTGCTATTCCCTGTCGATCTATCCTGGCTAATAAGCACTTGAAAATAAATCTGAGTTGCCCAGCCTATAACCAGGGGCCTGATGACATAAGACATATGTTGTTCAAATGCAAATTGGCAATGGACGTGTGGAAGATGCTCGGTCTTGAGCTTGTTATCAAACGGGCACTGAAAGTTGACAAGGCGGGCGAGCTTGTGTTGGCACATCTTTTGTGCCTTCCAGAACAACAAATCCAAGTGTTGGGCTTGCCGAAGTTCAGAGAAACGATGGCAACAACGGCTTGGTATTTGTGGTATCAAATGCGAAAATTGACACATGACGAAGAAACTCAAAGCGCATGTCAAATCAATATGTCAGTGAGAGGCTTAGTAGCAAACTATACCATCTCTTATAGCCCAAAGGCTCACGTCCGTTCAGATGCTTGGTTCAAACCAAAGTATGGTTACGTGAAATTAAACGTTGACGCGGGATTTGATAGTGACACACTCGCAGCAACATTTGGAGCAGTTATCCGGGACCATAGGGGGAAATTTATAGCGGCTGCTAATGAAAAGATGGACCTTTGCTTCGACTCGTTCACAGCAGAAGCAATTGCAGTGAGGTTTGGTTTGAATCTTGCCAATATTGTCAGATGCAGTAAGATTGAAGTGAATTCGGATAGCGTGGAGGTGGTGAATGCGTTGAGCCAAGGCTACTCTTCTTCAGTCGCTTCATCCATTATAGATGACTGTTATTTCATGTCATTAGGTTTTTCTCATGTCATTTATGATCATTGTAATAGGGAACGTAATCGAGTAGCTCATGAACTAGCAAGGTTAGCTAGGAAGTGTTTGGATGGATAACACCCCTGATGATATTATCCCTTTACTTGTAAACGATGCAACTTTACTTATGAATGAATAGACGATGCTACTTTACTTATGAATGAATAAAGGAGAAGAAGTTTATCAAAAAAAGAAAAAGAGAGAGATGAACCAGCCTATAAGAAAATCAGACCCAAAAACGCAACTTTCCTCCGCTAATTAAGGAAAATCAAATGGTCGTAGTTGTGCAACAGGACTTAGTAGTGACGCAAACAGAATGTAGCCCATGTCCAGAAAAGTTTTCACATTTATATTTTAAAATTTATGAACCAATTTGTGGTTGGATGGTTAGGAGGACAGTGATATCCTCAGCCCATCGGGGTTTAAGTCCTGACGCTCGCATTTATCCTGAATTTATTTTAAAATTCTGGCCATGCACGTTCAGTGGGAGATGTTTTCGTCGACTACGAGGTGCCTACCGTGATTTTGTAATATCTCAAGATGATATGCCGGCTCAGTCTCTCGGGGGTGCTCATAGAAATAGGGTGTGCGTGTGTGAGTTCATATGTATGAATGTATGCGCATATATATGGGTGCTTGCGTCTGTGCTATGCTAAAAAATGTATATTTTGAAAACTTAAAATTGCCACATATGCAATACATGGTGTGTACGTCTAGGGTGCCGCGGAGATGCATGTATCTTGCCCCCTTTTCTGGCAAAATTTTCAAGTGAATCTGCGTGTTCGTCGTGTGGTTAAGGGCTCAAGGCAACGTACTACCACTGTCATAGGCGCCTCAGCATGCTAATCCAGCTACCTAGTCCATGGAATGATGCTCATTAGCTGCACATATTGATAAAGAAATTGAAACAACGGCACGAGTTGACGAGCACGGTTAATCATAATAATTAAATAATGCATGGTTTGAGGCGTATCGACCACGAAAGATCGAGTTGTTCAATAAAGTTTGCCCTTGGCTAACAAAGTCGATCGAAACCTTTTGTCATCGTCGACTCTGGCCCTGGCCGGTGCCCGAAGGCCAAAGACCGGCATCCACGATAAAAGGAGGATGTGTGGATCGAGTCAAGAGTCAAGACCGACTACTGGCTAAAATGATGCGATCTTTGGACAGGAAGAAAGGTTGTATTTCTTAAAAAAAATGCTGGAAACTTTCGTCTATTCATCAACCATCAAGGTAATACAAAGAACAACAAAAGTAAAAAATACATCTAAGTTTGTAGACCAGCTAACGACAACTACTAGCACTCGAGCGAGCCAAAGGCGTGCTGCCGTCTTCGCCCCTCCTTCATTCGGAGCCGGGCAAACCTTGTTGTAGTAGACAGTCAGGAAATCGTTGTGCTAAGAGCCTATAGGGCCACGCATCAGACCAGCAACCACCGCTGATGAAGAGAAGCATATATCGTAAGGATCCTACCGCCGCCAATGAAGAGAAGCGTAGATCGTAAGGATCCTACCGCCGCCGATGAAGAGAAGCGTAGATCGTAAGGATCCTACCTGTAGACACGCGAACACAAACAAATGAAGACAATCCACGTGGATCCACCGAAGACAAACGCCGACCAAATCTCGCGAGATGCATTGAAGGCAAAACTTCACACGCCCTCCGACGATGTTAGAAACGCCACCAGGACGAAGACAAGGCCAAGAGAAACTTATTCCATCTTCAGAGAGCCACCGCCACCTCATCTCTCTAAGAAAAACATAAATCTTAACAAAACTCAAAAGTTCGTTCTCCCTCCGACAAGGACTACGATCCACCACGCCTCTATGACCCTAAGACCATAAAATACGAGATAGACCGACGGCGGCACAAGAAACCCTAGCCAAAGGGTCTTCTTTCTTTCCGTGGAAGAAAGAAAACGATCAGCAAACCCCATATACCCATGTCGTTTCAATGGAACCTCGGCTCCGCATATACACATTTTCGCGTGATCTCCCATTTCCCAGTGCTTTCTTTTTTGGCGAATAAGGTATATTTTCCAACTCACCAAAGTTACAGTCGCATGAATCTAATTAACCCTTTATTCCAACGATCCCTGTAGGAAATTCAACAGGTTCCAAAATTGCACCATACGGCATTAAGCAAGCAATTCAGGATGCATCCACACGACAATGGCCATCTGTTTTAACGGCATAATACACCTGAATCATTTGGCAATGTCTTTCACGGTAGCTACTCGTAGTAACCAACTGATGCTGCATCTGCTTAAAACTCAACCAGGAGGAAGAATTTGTCACGCAGAAACTACTTCTCCGGTGGCGAGGTCAGCTGCCTTAGGTTGAACTTCGAAAGCTCTTTGTATCTCTCCACCACTCCAATCATGCATATAGTCTGCCCACGATTCAAACAATAGTTTATCAGGACCTCAACTGTGAACATCTTACTGTAGCTATACTAGCCAGATAGAGAGAAATAGCCACCAGATTAGATATTTCATATGGCCAGTAGTAAAGTAATAAAGCAACATGCTCGCTTGGTGCAGCATTACTGAACAGAAGAAGAGCCCATGTTGGACTTACTACAGGGTTCAAAGTAAAAAAGGTGGGAAAAGGCATTTCATAAAAGCATAAAACAAACTTTTCCAAGTCCATTTTACCTTCAATCTGTAGAATGCAATCAGGATACTGAAATCGAAATTGGTTTAACATGAAGTATGATACAAGCTGCTAGCGATTTATTATGCTCATTTCCTCCATCCCCGGATCCCAGTGCTACAATAAAATTTGCAGCACTGGAAGCTGCCTGGGATACTGATCAGGGACCATACGGTTTTTTACTCCTGAACATTAAAAGAAACAACCCATGGTAGATAAATCAATGCAGATTTTGTACTAGCTCTGCACCAACAGGCGCAGGGACTTCCCTGAAAAAAGGGAAAAGGCATATGCGCACTATAGGTCGATTGCTTTACATCTCATCGATATGGACCTAGTCCTTGCTTTAGTCTTATCCAGCCAGTCGAATTGAGACTTCTACATTTTCAGATAGAAAGAAAACACAAGAGAACTATTTCTTCCGACTGAATTTTGTGTGGATCTCAAAGCAACTTTATGACAATGGACTGTGATGGTAGCTCATCGACAAATGCGTGTATGTGCAAATGCCTTTCCCATGGACAAATACCAGAATGATAATACTTAGTACTCTTGCATTTTACTACTCCAAAACCTCATTTAAAAATCATCCATACCTATGAATTTGAAAATAGATAAAAGTAACAATTGTGTTGTGAGAAGTGGGCATCAAATCATACAGATTTTTATGACAAATTGTAGGATAAAAACTTGTGTTTTGTTGAGGCACTTCCACAAAATATAACACTAGAGACTTAATAGCAATCCAACTGTATTAGAGAATTTACCTTGGCAATCTGGACAATAACAGTCTTGTCGGGGTTGCTGAGGTCAACTTTGTGAGGTTGAGGTATAGATTTTGCTACTGCATTTATAATTTTCATTCTATCGATTCCTGTGTTTGACCTTGCTTCATATAACACAGCAAACTGCAAAGATTGAGACAAGCAAGTAAGGTAACGTGTAGAATTTTGGACAGGAAAACAATAAAGCAAACAACTCCTATTTGGAGAACTGCATCATTCTATCTGTTCTGTGGAAATAATAAATACAATAATAAACATTATAATGTACTGATGTTGGCTACTGAAACAATTGACTGCATTGGCTTGCTCATAAAGCGTGGCATATCCGCATATATGGGCTAAATTTTGTGGGATAGTACTTCCAGCACTTTCTTTCGGATGACGAATGCACAGAAAATCATTACCAGGTCAATTCTATGAAAGATGGATGACATTTAGGAACCTATTGATGGAAATATGAAGGTATGAAGTATCTACCCTGGTAATGCTTCATACAGTCAGTGCCAATTGTCAGATAGGTAATTAATCTTGTTAGGCTTCTAGCCAACTTTAGACCTTGCTACATGGGGTAGACTACATCCAGCAATACAATCCATCTTCCCCCCTACCCACTATCTCCTCAATTCCCGTTATACAGTGAAAATAACAATCGATGAATTATGGTAGTGCATGATTATAATTTATGAACGGGGCAAGTTTACAATGAAATGGTCGGACAATCTCTCTTATATCTAAAAAATACGCAAATTTCCATGTTTTGCCTCTCTGTTCCGTCTCTGCTAGTTATTTTTTGCCCGCCGTTTTTTTTGTACCACATCCCAGTTATCTCCCCTTGCCTCCCTCACCTCATCACACTGGTACCCCCCCACCCCACCCCACTCCCGGCGATGTCGCCCACCAGCCGCGGCCTCCCCAAGTCTCCTCTCCAAGTGACCCCGTGATGGAAAATCCATATAACTAATACAAGATAATATATAATAGTCTCAGCGTTTTGCCCTAGCCAGACCATCCAGCAATCAAGTAAAAAACTTACCTTATGTCCCGAAGGAGATTCTTTGGGGAAGTACTTTTCAACAAGTGGAGTAACGGCTCTTGTTATTTCCTCTTCTGAAGCATAACATACCACCTCAGCAGGCAACACCCTCAGAATAAACCTAGAGTACATTCAAGATGAAAATCTATAAGCAAGAAAATAACTGCACACTCCATAAGAGCCATGATATCATATCTTGATATACAAGACTTATGAAGAACAAAAAAGATAGATTGCAATAATATAAATTCTGAACCTGGACATATGTTTACGAGTTGAAGCAGCCGAAGACATCATGTTTTGTACAATCTCAACTGGACCAGGGTCTCCACCTCTTTTGTGCATTTGAATGAAGATGCAACCATTGCAACCGGAATCGACGCTTGCAAACAGCCTCTGTTTGAAGTATGATGGTTTTCATCATATCAGTTAGTGTATAAACAGTGAGGCAAAGACAAAATATATGGACTAGTATGGTTGCATCATTTTCCCGTATCAGGGAATTGTTTCTAGAGGGAACAGTGATGCATTACAGAAGACTCTGATTCTCAATAAAGCCTCAGTGCCAAGTTATTAAAAGTAGTGGCTAAAATTTGAGGCATAATACATAACTCTCTCATCAAATGAGTTTTGAGTCCTTGCAAGACTTGCTTGCCGTACTTAATTGCTCAAGTTTACTCACAACTGTACAGGGATCTGATAGCCAGAATAAAACAAGTACGATGAATAAATAGTTAAATATTACAGGTAACCTTTTAAACTAGTTATGGGCAGACAGAAATACTGAAACCTTTCTATCTACAGCATGATTTTCCAAATTTAGGGTCTGTGCAATATGTCAATATTCGAAAATGACTTAAAATTACATCATGTGTATGACACAAGGGGAAAAGGATGTGGATGAAAACTGGATTTTATGAGCATTCCTAAGTGAATACTTCTTTTATCTAGGATCCAGCAAAACTTCTTAGGAGCTATGAATATGAATTCCATGCTTTCATCTTACAAAAGAAAGGACAATTATGGATGAGTAAACTGCACCAAGATATTTTTTAGCACATCTGAAAACTTCAACCCTCTGCGCAGGTTTTATATGGACTATTTTCAAGCAGAAATGAGCACCTCCTACGTATTTTCAACTGTAAATAAATTCAGAAAACAAACAGACCTTTTTCCTGTCCCCCAGTTGTTTCAGGTCCTCATCAATTAAATCATCAATAGGTATGTCATTGGACGCTTTTGGTTTACCAGTGAACTCTTTTGGTTTATCGTTGGACGCTTTTGGTTTATCACTAGTCTCTGTTGGTTTATCAGTGGACTCTTTTGGCTTATCATCAGTAGTCTCTGCTGGCTTATCAGTGGACTCTTTTGGCTTATCATCAGTAGTCTCTGCTGGTTTATCAGTGGACTCCTTTGGCTTATCATCAGTAGTCTCTGTTGGTTCATCAGTGGGCACTTTTGGTTCTGTCTGTTCAGAAACCAAAGGATCTTCTATACGTTGTTTCTTAGGCGCTGATCCGTCGGCAGTTTCCACTTGTTCTTCATCCTCCTTGCTGACAACTTCCAAGGCACCAGGTACCTCTTGTTGCTGCTCAGATGACTTTGCTTCACCTTTTTCTACATCATTTCCATTGTCAGCCTCCTCCACTGAATGACCTTCATCCTCATCATCAGAGGAATCAGAGTCCTCAAACTTTATTTTTTTGTTCAGCGGCTTGTCAGGGATGCTCTTGGGCTTCTCATCAAATACTTTCCCGTCAACCAGGTCCTCGTAAAACTGCAGACCCACAATGAAGAGACCGCACATCAGCAATTATTCTTGGGAAAAAGCATATTAGCAAGAATGGAGTATTGTGGTTAATTGCATGATTTATTGTGGTTATTACTACATGTCTTTTGCAGAGAAAGATAGATATAGAGAGAGGGTACACTAGGAACTGTATATAACCTAGATAGTGGCAAGATTCAAAGTCCCAAGCACAAGTATATTACAAGCAATAGCTCAGCGCGCTGCAGCTGTGTTGCTAATTTCAATCAGGCATCACATTTATGAGTGAATGTGCATTGTGAGTCACAAAGGTGTAAGCTGTCCCGCCACAATAACAAGCAAACTACAGTGAACACAAGATAGCGCAGCACTATCGCCGAATTTGAAGCGGAACGCATCCGTCTAAGATAGTAATTAGAATTGAATGAGTAATTATTAAGATCTCGCACGAAGCGGCGGCTGGTGCTGCTGCGGCCAGGCAATACGACGAACACCTGCTGCGCGGGAGGCTCGGGCCGGCAAGGGAGCAGATCAATTAGGTGCAGGCAAGGGAAGTGGCTTACGGTGTCCAGGAGGGAGATCGCCTCACGGGTGGCCTGGTGCTCGCGGCCGCCGTCGCAGGTGATGAAGAAGCCCTGCACGCCGGGGCGCAGCGGGTACGCGCCCTTCCGCACCGGCTTGCCGTGGGGCAGGAACTTGCGCTTCCTCCCCTTGGTGTCGCCGCCGGTGTTGGCGTTGGGCTTGCCGCCGGCGGAGGCCATCTGGTGTCGTGCTTGGCTCGGGGTTTCTCTAGGGTTTCCTCTGGGCCTCGCCTCGGCCGCGCGTCTATGCAGCAAGTACGGCTATCGTTGTTTGCCGGGGCTATTTCTCGCCTGCCGCGAGAGCTACGATAGACGCGCCTCTGGCGCAAGCCTACTGGGCCGGCTTAGTACTCTAGCTTCCATTTTACATTTTTTAGGTTTTTTTTCTTTGGGTTTTATTTTTTTCAATATTTTTTTAATTTCCCTTTTTATTTTTTAAAAGGGTTTTGCAGATTGTTTTTCAAAAATCAACACATGTTGTACATTTTTAATACATATTGTACATTTTTATACACATGTAACATTATTTTATTCACCTTAAACATATTTTAAATACATGCATTGATTTTTTTAATACATCTTAAATATTTTTAAACACAAGATAAGTTAATTTAATTGATAAAATATATGTTTACATTACATAAACATTTTTGAAATGCCATGAAAATAGTTTTGAAAGAAATGGTTTAAAAAAAGTCACATGCATTTTATGAATCCTATAAAACTTTTTTTAATTACATGAACATTTTTACATTGACAAAAGAATTTGCATAATGTCATGAATATTTTTTTGAAACATGTAATCATTTTCTTAAATGTCACGTGAAAATTCTTGAATGCCATGAATAATTTTCTCAATTATGCAAACGTTGTTTAATATTTATAAACAATTTTATAAAATATGAGGATCGTTTTTCTGAAACACCTGAACATTTTAAAACATTACATAATAGTGCGGACATTTTTACATTGTATACACATTTTTTGAACATGTGATGAACACTTCTAAAAAATCATGGAATTTTTTATTCTATTTTAGAAATATAAGTAAATTAATAAAAGAAAAAAACATCCATTGGAGAGCCAACGCTCCTCCCGCGTTGGGCCGGCACATTTATGAGGGGGGAGCTATGATTCACCTCGCTACAAGCGAGGTATAGCCTTCCCTTAAAAAGAGAGGTATAGCCTACCCATCATTTTTCACCTTTCGGATCATGAAATAATGCAAGGGCGTTTAGTTCGTCGCATCATTTTTAGGCTTCCTGTAAACATAGTCAGGTGGAGCTTGTGCGGGAGAATACAAGCTTCGGACCAAGTTGCGCAACTTGACTGGCTGCTCACGAAATCCTAGGCTACATGTGCATCAATATGTGAGTAGTGCTTGGTTGCCTCTGTTTCGTGAAATCAATAGTTAATGGGCACCCCTTGTAAAGGTTATGACATCTCCTTTGATGGTGGCAAGTGATGTAGTATATGTGCATCACATGCCACAACCAAAGAGTTTTGGTGGTTTTCTCATCCACGCGTGAGGATGAGAGGTTGATTATTTGTGTTTTTTCGATTAGTTTTTTAAATGATTTACCTCTTGAACCGTACGTTCAAATCACAAATCATTCGACCAGCTTTTCACGTTGAGATCTTCAAAAGTAGATTACATGTTGATATGTTTTGACCAACTTTTTATTTCAAGCAAATATGTGTTTTCTAGTGCTTTCCGGGAAAGTGCAACTATGCTTATAGCGGGGGATGAAGCACTAATGCGCTTCACTCGGAAGCACGCACGTGCCACTTGCAGGCGTATTGTGCTTCACGCGGAAGCACACTGGTGCTCCATGCTGTCAAAAGAAAAACAAAAAATCTAATAAATAGAGGGGAAAAGTAAAAAAAACATGAAAAATAAAAGAAAAGTGAAAAATTGCCCTGATGCGGAAAGCGTCCAACGCGCGACACATGGTGGCGCGCTAGGATGCACCACGTGGAGCGTTTGGAGTGCTTCTACGCATAAGAAAGTGTCTGCTGGGACACCCAGCCAGGGGTTAACCTCAAATAGTCGCTCCCTATGTTTCTGGATTTAAGTTGGCCGTTGCTATGTTTGATTGCACACTTTTGGTCTGATTTTGTTAACAATCACACGTGTACATGTTACAACAATCCACAATAAAGTAGATATATGTAGATATATTCATCTATGAGCGTTGAAATAGAAAACTTAAAACATAGAGTTGTGTGGAATAACAAGACGAAGCTGGTGACCGAAGAAATTTTAAATGGTGGACCGTGCGCTATGATTTTGACAAAATGCGTCTAAAAAGGTTCAAACATAAATGGAATTAAACATTTAAATTTTAAAAGTCAATGAAATTAGGTGCTCATCACCGAAATGAAATCACAATATCGATGTGCATCTTTTTCTTGTAGAGCATACCTTAACTTGAATCGAAGTACCATTGTATAGATTAGAATAGATTAAGCAAAGGAGATTAATGAAGGTAAGCAGAACAAAAAAAATGTGTAAACGCTCATATCCATCCCCACTATCCGAGCCACCACGTGCACTCGTTGAACCCTTTTTACGCTCGCTCGGGCCTTGCTCAATTTTTTTTCTTAAATACGCATGAGTATGCGTATCATTCATTAAAAAAGAAGGGAAGAGTCCCCAAAATTCCATAGTTACAAATTATTTACATGTGGGATTTACGCGACACCAGCAAGTTCTAAGTCGAACTACTCATGTTGTACGCGCGTTGTGTTCGGCGCCTCGAACCCTTGTATGTTGCCCTTGATGAGGCCCGCTTTATTCCAGAGCGCTCCCTCCTCCTTGATGCGTTGCATTATTTGTGCTATTGATGGTGTCGTTCCATTGAACACAATATCATACTGCATTCTCTGTTTTATTTGGGGCTTGCTCACTTGTTGCTCTCAAAGAAGGCAGAGGCCGACTCGTGACACCTCCACAAACCTTTGGCCTTTCTTGACCACTTGCATGTTGGTATGTTTCCATTGACACATTGCAGCAAACCATCGAAAGTGAGGGAAATAACGAAAACACCTGGACACATACTACATACTGCACCCTCCATTCCTGATTCTTTTCCCAATTATCGATGATAGCCATGTAAATTATGTTTGCTTTCTCAAAAGTGACATTTTTTTGTCTCAGGCTTGAGTGTTACTAGGATGCCGCCACATCTATGCCCCTATCGGCCCATGGGTCAAGCAGCCATGCCATGGCCCATGGATATGGGCTAGTTATTTTTTTATTGTGTTTTACTTTGTTTAGCTAATCAATTAATGACAACGTCATCGTCGTCATCTGAGAAATTTAGGTCCCCTCGCCTCCGGCTGCCATGTTGGCGCTAAGAGGTGAGGGGACCTCGGAACTTCAAGATCTCTATGTTCTTCGTCAACGTCTAGTGATCATCATAATGTTGCGACAATAAACTTTCTCTCATCATTTTGGCGGTGCCATGAGATTAAAGGGTTTTCTGTCCTCGCTGATCCAATTATTCGGATCCGATGAGTTTATGTTGCTGTGTCAAGCTTTTTTTTTTGTTGGTCTGATACTTGTGGAGGTGAAATCTTGCATCGACACCATGATGAAGATATAGTGATTCGACAACTTGCACTTCTAGGGGATCACCCCTGGCCCAAGTACGTTCATCGACCAAGGTTTCCCATCTTTTTGGATGTGCGACTCAAGGCACTTTTCAAAATCATTATTGAGAATGTTCGTGCGAGTGAAAGAGTGACAACATCGTTGCTCCAGTCCAATTGCAGCCTCTTTACCAAAGTTTTCAGAGTATTTCTTCGAGCAAAGATTGATACCGCGGAGAAGATGTTTTCAAGAGATTTCACTGTAGTTCTTAGTCATAGAAGTTATTTTGTATTCTTTTGGATCTTAGGCCCAAATCAGTGTACCTATAATTGTTATGAGTATGAATAAAGTTACATGTGTTTTTAAAAAGAACTAATCAATTAATTGATTACCTTTTTCTAGAATCTCATAAAGCTTTATTACGGCGACTAAATGTATTCATCATTGTAAACATCTAGTCGCCGTAATAAAGCTTTGTGAGATTCTAAAAAAAAGCTAATCAATTCATCAAGAAAATTGTCATTGACAAAGCACTTCTATACCGCTTCGCAAGAAAATTGTCAAGCACATTTGTTACACCAATAAGCATCTACATAAAAAAAACATCCGAATCTTTAAATTGATGTATGAAGCCAGCTATCCTTCAAAAATCTAACTTTTTCCCCATTACCACCTACCCATTTATACCCAAGTTTGAGAGCTTTATCGACCTACAAAACACCATGCCAGAATTTTGGCGGGTTTGAGCATCTATTGGCAAAGATATTTAGCATAGATTTAAGGTATTTTTCATCTACGATTCTCTTCCAAATCTAGCCCTCATCAGCAATGCATGTATCTTTTGACTCAGTTGCCTAACAAGCAGAAATTGACATCCCTGAGATTAGGAATCTCTAGTCCACCATGGCTCTCTTAGCCATACAGACCGGTGCTAAACACAATTTTCTATTACCCTCATAGTCACTCCAGAGACAATGAGCTAGTTGGGTATGGATCGTGTCTAATGCCCATTTAGGGAACTTAAAGAAAGAGAGGAGATAAACAGGTATACGAGCAAGACAAGATTTAGTGAAGGTAAGCCTAGTTGAATAAGACATCAGAGAGGAGAGATTGAATCTTATCTATAATGGGTTGAATATCCCCCCTTCCAAGCTTATCAAAGTGTATGGGACCTCCTAAATATTTAATGGGAAGCACATTTAGAGAGCACCCAAAAATCTTGGTGTCGAGAGCTATTCTCTCTTCACTAATACCAAGAGTAATGAGCTCATCGTACCAGAAACTTTCTCAAAACTAACTAGGGTAGTCTTCATATTCTTGGCTGTGTCTAGATCATCTTCTACAAAAAAGGATAGTAATTCTGCGTACTGAATGCAGATGACAACTCCAGAAATCAAACTAGAGCACAACCCTTTGATCAAATTATGCTGGGAAGCGTTAATAAGCATTTTAGAGAGAACATCAACTACCAGGTTGAAGAGCATGGAGAAATCGGCTTTCAGTCTCGTCAGCGCCAACAAATTTGTGAAACATGGCTCGAGAGAAACGACTGAGGCTATTTGGTCTGCTAACATACATGTCCTTTGGGATACCTAACAAAGTAGTTTTTTCCCTTAAAATACGTAAAAGAGTACAACAAAATTACACTTTTGTGGAGAAGACTTAAGAGCATCTTCAGTAGATGATGTAGATGCAAAACTAACTAACTTTTAAACCCCGAGGCCCAAATTCCCTCTCCAACAGATGATGTAGATGAAACAAAAAAAATTATATCCCCGCCTTCCGGAGATGTAAAATACAACACCTCAAGATGCAAATTTGCATCTCCACCTCTAGGAGATGTAAAACTGGCGGCCGCTCGCCAACTGCCCAACCATTTTCATTTTTCCTTCTGCCCGCCCGCCGACCGCCTCACATGCTATGGCAGACCCCGCCGCCTCCTCTGTCCCAGCCGCCCACCCCGCCGGGGCCTTCACCGGAGCGACCATTGTCCCCAATCCCGCCTCCATTACCATACCGCCGCCCTGATTTTGCCCCACCCGGTTCGGTCGTCGTCACGGTTGCCATCCCACTGCCAGATCCGGCCGCCCCGGTCCATCACTCCCGTCCCTGGTTCCGCCGCTGCTCCCCCACTGCCCGCCTCCAAATCGGCTGAATTGGCCACTTCTCCGCCGCTGAATCGCCGACGTATGATTTGAGCTCCCCCCCGCCCTGCCATCGCGGATTCGAGCCGCACAGCCGCCGCCACGCCGCTGCAGTTTTCCGCCGCCAGACTTGGCCTCCTCGCGCCGTACGACCGTCGCCCCCACGTCCCGTCGTGATCAATTCGCCTCTCTATTCACAACCGTGTTGCCGACCATTCGAGCTCCCGCCGCCGCATTCGACCTCCCGACTCTCTTCGCTCGGCTGCTGGTGCACCCGTTGCCTCCACTTGGTCCATCGGCACTGCTCCCGGCTCTTGGCGCTCACGCCTACCAATTTTACATCTCCATTTGCATCATTTATTGGAGTTGCACTTTTACATCACCAATTTACACCACCATTTGGAGTTGCCATTTTTTTTGAGATGTAAAATTCATCTTTTGGAGATGTAAATTTTTACATCTCGTGTTTCTAATTTGCATCATCCATTGAAGATGCTCTAAACATAAAACAATTCTTATATTATGGAAAATGATAACTGAGGTCCCAGGGAACGTCCCCATAACCATTGGATCTGGATCACGCGGATGACATTAAAAAAAGGGACAATTGCATTTTTACCCCTAGTTGGTTCCTACCAACGGGTTTTGCCCTTACTTTTCGAGCTTGCTCAGTTTTGCCCTTACTTTTTCCATCGAGGTCCCTCGAATGCCCTTTGACCGTTTAACCAAAACTTTGAAAATTCATAACTAATTCATACAAACTCAGAAAAATGCAAATAAGATATCAAAATGTTCAGATAAACATTACCTTTATCGGCATATCATTTGCATTCAGGAAAAAAGCATCGTTTAAACTACCCGAGGTAATTAATGTTATTAACATTATTAAAAATAAATAGGTATAAACAATATTTTTTTGTGAATAAAAATTATATGCAAATGTAGGTGATGTTTTCTGAACATCCTGATACCTTATTTGCATTTTCCTAAGTTCATATCAACTTGTTATGAAGTTTCCAAATAATGGTCAAAGTCGTTAGAACATTCATAACAAGTTGATACAAACTCAGAAAAATTCAAGTAAGTTATCAGGATGTTCAGAAAACATCACCTACATTTTCATGTAAATTTTATTCATGAAAAAAAATATTGTTTATACCTATTTATTTTTAATAATGTTAATAACGTTAATTACCTCGGGTAGTTTAAACGATACTTTTGTCCTGAATGCAAATGATATGCCCATAAATGTAATGTTTATCTTGATATCTTATTTGCATTTTTCTGAGTTTGTATGAATTAGTTATGAATTTTCAAAATTTTGGTCAAACGGTCAAAGGGCATTCGAGGAACCTCAATGAAAAAAGTAAGGGCAAAACTGAGCAAGCTCGAAAAGTAAGGGCAAAATCCATGGGTAGGAACCAACTAGGGGTAAAAATGCAATTGTCCCTTAAAAAAATATTTACTTGCATTTTTTTACGTTACATGTGGCAAATCTCATAAAAGTTGCCATGCCGATTGGAGCGTTTGCTGAGAAAACATTCCCAGGAAAGATATTGCGGTCCTAGATTATCTTCTTCTCAAAAGACGAAGGCGCCGCTCTCAGATTATCTTCCACCTCAACATGCATCTCGAGTGCATCACAAATCAGCACGCACCAACAGAAAAGAAACGACCACCATGCCCCGGACCGCCGCCATCGCCATCCAGCGGGCAATAATGAGAAGTGAAAAGCAACAAAGCTGAACGGGCAGCCCTGGCAGCTCTGTCTCGCCGGTAACCGGCCACATGCAAGCGCGCCTCCCGTTCACCAGCGTACGTGCCACTCTCACGCCCACACTGCCGACTGACAAGTAAGCTATATATAGGCCTGCCCGCAGACTTGAGCTAACATCTGCAAACCACTTCAAACCAAGAAACCTCCTCAGTCAGTTTTAATCCTCGCGACGTTCGATTGTTATATGATGGCGGAGACCAAGGCGGTGGCTGCTGCGGTGGAGGCGAGTCCGGTGGAGGTGGAGGAGGGCAGGAGCAAGACAGTGGAGGCGAGTCCGGTGGAGGAGGGGAGGAGCAAGACGGTGGCTGCTGCGGTGGAGGAGGGGAGGAGCAAGACGGTGGTGCTGGTCGCCGTGGACGACAGCGACGCAAGCTACCGCGCGCTCGAGTGGGCCGTGCGGCACGTGGCGGCGACGGCCGGCATGGCCGGCGCCGGAGCGGTGGAGCTCGTTGTCCTCCACGCCAAGCCGCCCACTTCCCTCGCCGTCAACATGGGCGGCCCCGGTGCGTTAGCCTCCTCTTCAATGCTTCATCGTTTCGTCCTTTGGTCTGGACTCCGGCTGGAGCAAAGCTCTGTCGACTGAATTCTGGGGATTCGTTTCAGGCGTGCCCGGCGACGTGGTGGGGTTAGTGGAGGAGGACCTGCGCAAGAAGGCCGAGGGCGTCGTCGGCAAGGCGCGCAGCCTCTGCGCCGCCAACTCGGTAACATAACATCCACTACCAACTCTCCGCTAGCCGCATTGCTCCATGGACAGATATAGAGAAGATATACATGCCATAGCTGTACGTAACTTGTGCTGCTTATACGGAACCGCAGGTGGAGGCCGTGGTGGACGTGGTGGACGGGGAGCCGAAGCACGTCCTGTGCGACGCCGTCGAGAAGCACCACGCCGATCTGCTCGTCGTCGGCAGCCAGGGCTACGGCGCCATCAGGAGGTCCTTGATTTTCTCTTCTCCTGCAGTGTACGCCTTCACCGCGAGACTGAAACTAATGGTGGCTGTCTCTTGTCTCAACTCCTCTTTCTTGCAGGGCATTGCTTGGGAGCGTGAGCGACTACTGCGCCCACCACGCGGACTGCTCTGTGGTGATTGTCAAGCAGCCCGGGTCCAAGAACTGATCGCCATTTTCCGGTGTTGGATCGATCGTGCCCAGTTCCAGTGTTGGGATTGTGCCATTTGCGTGCCTACACAATGTATCCCTGCCTAATTATTTCTGCTCCAACCGTTGTATTCTCTCTGTTATTTACTCTGCATAATACTAGCAGTCGAGCTTTGTAAACTTTGATTAAATTTATATTAATAGTGATCTAAATGATCTTATATTAGTTTACAGAGGGAGTACAATATACCCAATCAGCACAATAAATTCGCCGTTGAAATACATTTTCACATTAAATAGACTTGCTTTCGTATACGTCTGTATTGCTTTTTATAAACTTAGTCAAACTTTATATTGTTTGACTTACGACAGAGATAATATGCAAAGTAAATGAAACGGAAAGAATGCTATCGGTGCCATACATGATTCTTTGGGTGTTCATCCTCTGATATCATCATCAATTTGCCCTTCTTCCAGAGACTTACCACTCAATGACCCCTCTCCTTTGTTGCGTTTTTATGTAATCGTTTTGTTTCTAGTGGATCTGCTTTTTGCGTCTAACGTGTTGTCAGCTAGCGCAGTCGCTCGTGGGCACTACATTGAATAATTGCTTCGACATCCGTTCATTATCTCTCCTACTATTTATACTTAAATAAATAACACGTAAAGTTATGTCACACATTCTGTTGAAAAAAGTAGTATCAGTTAAAAAATGAAATATTTTCTATTAGTGTTTACTTGCATAAGTCAACTATATTTTTGTTGAAAATAAACTTAGGCTAAAAATCTTGTTAAATGACCGCTTTATGTTTTTATTAGTGTTTACTTGCATAAAACAACTAAGAAAAGATTGTTGTAGACTCAACAAAAATGGCATTCACTTAGCCTGAAAATCTACTACACTCTATCGAAAAAATACAGTAGTATCGGTTCAAAAACGGAATAGACACATTCCAACAATGCAAGAGAGGGGACCATAAACCCCGTATGAAAATGTTGTTGATTCAAGAAAAATTTCTACAGCCCCTCTCCTCCCCTCCCGTCCCCTCCCCCATGTGGCGGCGCCGCCCCGCACCGAGGAGCCCCCGCCCTCCTCCTACAGCCGCGCCTCACCTCCGCTCCCCTCCGCCGCCGCCGCCCGGGGCGTCACAGGGCAAAGCCCTTGTGGCGTGGCGGCGGCGGCGGCGGTTTTCTCCTCGGATCTCGATCTGGTTGGGAGGCGGCGCTCCTTTCTGGCCAGATCGGCGGCGACATGGATGTGGTGCGGCGGCGGCGGTGGAGGACGACACCAGCAACAGCGGACTGGCCTTGACTAAGTCGGGCTAATTCGTTGTGCTACCGATCTCAATCACCGTCAGCGGTGCACTGCTCCTGGACTTGATCTGCAACACGAGGATGTCTGGGACGCCGGCCCTAGGCTTGGTGGTGGTGGCCTTCTTCTTCGTCGGAGTTGGTCTGGATCCCGGGGCGGCAGCCCTGGATGGTGGCGGCCGGTGAAGCTAGGGCTTCCCGCGGCGGCATGGCGTGGTGCAGTCCCTGTCCAAGGCGGATCTGTGACGGTGATCTGATCTACGGATTGGTTCGGATCAGAGATGGTGACGAGCACGCATGATCCATCTCGGCGGCTCTCGCGGCTTGGCGAGGCGGGGTGGGAGCCCTCCTCCTAGGCTCCAATGGTGGCACACTCAGGTAGTGGCGGGTGCGCCAGGGCTCCTATGGTGGCATTACTGATGCGGTTGGTCGCTGGATCTATGCGGCTAGATCTGGGGCTTTGAAGGCGGTCGAGACGATGCACAGGTTGTCGGGTGGATTACTTGGGACGGATCAGGGTGAAAACCTGGTATTCGGTCGATGGCAGGAGCCGGTGATGAAGATGCCCTTATCATCGTTTCCTTCATGAAGGCATCATCGAGGTGAAGCTCCCAGCTCCACTCAATACCTCGGGGAAACCCTAAATCAGCTGATCGGATGTTGGCGGCAATCATGTGTCGTTACCCCCTTGGGACGGCATTCTTGGAGGTGCACTCATTCTCGTGGGACCAGCGGATGGCTTCTTTGATGGAGCGGTGCTTCATCCTACACATTGATGACGGATCTCGACGGTGTGGCGCAGTGCAGATTCGGCGTTCGATGTGCGAGGATGGACTCGCGCAGGAGGACGATGCTGTCTGGCGTCGATGGCAGAGAGACCTGGCACGGTAGATGCAACAGTACAGCTCTGAAGATGAATTGGTGGCATGTGGCTGCGGCGGCCTCATACCCGGCAGGCGTCCTGGTTGAGGAATGCGCTGGACTGGTAGGTGCCCCATACCCGGCAGACGTCCTGGTTGGGACCTCAGGTCTTAGATGTTTAGGTTTGGCTGCGAGGTCTGTTTGGTATTAGGCCCAGACTATCAGCATCCTTTCATCAACTGGATAGGAGTAGCGACAGATGTTGCCTAGACGGTGGCTTTAAACTTACTGTTGTATGACTTTGTAAGGTCTTGTGTGAATAATTAATAAAGTGGTCGCATGCATCGTCCAGATGCAGAGGTGGGGAGTCCTCCTCCATTTCTAAAAAGAAAAGAAAAATTCTACACATTGGTGTAGTTTTTTTCTCTCAAAGCAACACTAGTGTAAAAATACAATAGATACTAATGCAAAATGCAATCAAGAAAAATGTTATTTTCAGTGGAATCTTGCTGAAACCAACACAACGTGAAAGCAAATTCCAAATTGGATTCTCCATCTAATAGCAGTGACTTTTTTAAGCACTTGAACCATCTTTTACTCGCTTTCTTTTCAAAAAAAATTCTTTTACTCGCTTTAATTACTTTCCTTTAGGGGGGAGTTGGAGCTAGGGAATGGGAGTTTAAGGTGGTTGGAACTAAAAATCTCTTGATTGGTCCATGGAGTTGGGAATTAATAAGGGAAGGGGAAGGGGAATTAGGCTGGCCATAATGAGGGTAACATAAGTAGTCTCATGCACTTGGGACTCGCAAACATGCTTATGTGGCAGGCAATTAAAGAAGAGAGAGATGATTATAGTAACATAGGTAGATACTACTATGTGTCATGTATGGCAATAAATGAGACCACCTATGATACTAATCTATGATACTATGCACTATAAAAGTAGTAACATAGACTAGTAACATATGCATGTTACTAGTCTAAGTTACTCCCTACTACCAGCCTTAGAAGGCCCAACTCCCATCGATCTCTTCTCTGGGGTTCCGTGAAGGAATGGGAGTTGACGCCTAGAAGAAAATTGTTACAGATTTATTGGCCCACCTCGCGCAAAGAAAGAAAAAAACTCCACAAAAATCCTACCTAAATACTTGCAGCGATATCATTTTTCCTCCAAATAAATCGGCCAGCCTAACTGCTTACTAATTTGCAGATGCAATGCCAAGCACGAGCACATCTCATGCAAGAGGGGCACCCAGCAGCGTGTAGCCCATCTGCTTTTGCTACGTAACAAAGTTTGATGCAGATCTATTTCCCCTTTCTATTCTCTTTTTTGCCTTCACATGTTATAGATTTTGTTTCAACATTTGCGTGTCCCCTTCTTTATCCATTGCTCATTAGAATTATTCCCGCATATAATTCCCACCCCACACCAAGCGTGGGATTAGGACTAATAGTCCACTTCCCAAGCCTAATCCCTCAGGCAACTCCCTCTCATAAATTCCCAATCCCTTTCCCTTGAACAACCAAACACGCTGTTAGCATCGGTGGCGTCATGCTGCCACCGGGATGGGTTTCGGTGCGAGATATCACTAGTAGAAAAGGGGGCAATGGTCCAGGCCGGGTCAGCCCATTAGTCCCAGTTCAATTCAGAACCGGGTCCAATGGGTGCATTGGACCCGGTTCGTGAGCCCCGGGGGCCGGCCGGGCCACGTGGGTCATTGGTCCCGGTTCGTCTGGACCTTTTGGTCCCGGTTGGTGGGACGAACCGGGACCAATGGGCCTGGCTCCTAGCCCACCACCATTGGTCCCGGTTGGGGGCATGAACCGGGACCAAAGGACGCCCATTAGTCCCGGTTCATACCACCAACCGGGACTAAAGTGTTGGTCCTCGTTGCGGCCAGAGTTTAGTCCCACCTCGCCAACCGAAGGGGGCTCACACCGGTTTATAAGCCCCTCCCTCTCTGCCTTGTTGAGCTCCTCTCAAAATGAAAATAGATGCCCTTATACAGAAAATTTGACCTAAATTCATATTGAATTTCTTTGAAGTTAGTAGAAATTTTGTAACACCCCAAAATTTTAACCTTGTTTTGATAATTAAAATTTTGCCAGGAAATTAAATTTTTTATTTTCCGGGCTCCCTTTTGATTTTTAACCAATTTTCTCTCTTGTTATTATGGAGTTTTCCCAAAAAAAGAAAAACTTTTCAAGTATGTTATTGGACTTGTTTAACCTCTCAAGAAAAACGTTTCTTTTATTAGTAGAACTATTTACATAATTAATTTGCTTGATCTTTATTTTATTGAAAAATGGTTTTCCAAGATTATATGGCCATATTTAAACTACAACCATTTGATAAATTCTTTTAAAAACCCCACCAAAATTTGGAGATGTCATGTGAGGTTTATAAAACACTTTTATGCAAAAAATATATTTCATTCCTTGGATATTTTGAGCTCTGCACCCAATTTCTTCTTTGGTCCAGTGGGCAATTTTGCACTACAACTCATTTAAATATTTCTTTCTAGCTTCCACCAAAATTATGGGATGTTAGTAGCAGCATATGATTCAACTTTATGCAAAAACCCAGTAATGTTATTTGAAAAATTTGAGTGAATCAACCCCTTTTCCATACTGGTCCAACTTGAGGATTTGTACAACAACTACTTCTTAAGTTGCTCCTTTACCCATGAGCTTTCTCCTACTTGTAGTCCTCCATGCTAAAGCCCTAAATCCAGGAGCATGCACCCATTGAATCATTTTTGATTCATGAAATGATGCCATTCACCTCCTATCCAGAATTGGAGTTCTGCAAAACTTGCACTAGCAAGTTTGTGCTTTTTACAAACT